CACCACGTAGAGGCAACTTACTTTGCACCTCTTTGTTCTTTTTTTGGCTTTATTTTTTTATATTTTTTTCTTGCTTTATTTTTTTATATTTGTTTTTTGTTTCCTTTTATTTTTTTTGTTGGCTTACCATATAATATAGTCACACATTTTAGTATTTAAATATTTTATTATTTAGTTAAGTTTTTATATATGCTGGAATGAAAATGTCATTACAGTTTTCTTCAGGCGACTCACAAAAGTTGGTTTATCAATCATATTTATTTTGAATCTATCCCAGAATTTAATGAATTCCCTATGAACTGACTTCCCGGCCTGCTCGGACCATAATCCTAAACCATCGTTATTCAAGAATGAAATAGATTGCTTTAAATGTTTAAGGATAAAATGGATTTTGACAGTTTGAGAAATTCCAGTACTTTTCAAAGCTGTGCGGAGTTCGTTAAGATTTTTATCAAAATTACTAAGATCCGCTTGTTTTGCGGAAAACCATGTATTCACGATTTTGCTCATGGCTTTGAACGAGGCAATATATTTGGTATGTTCGATATTTTTTTGTATGTGGAAGACACTGTCAGCAAAAAATAAATAATTGCAAAAAATCAACGAAATTTTCTGGTAACTTCAGACTTGCACTTTACTAATTGGCTCAAAAGCTACATTTTAAACATTTTTCTAAAAGATCTGATTAGAAATTGTGATCAGATGAAAGTGTCTCCGAGCCAATAATTTTGTACGGCACGGTACTTATAAGTAATCTAGGTTTCACGAAAAACAAAAAAAATAAATACAAGGTAACATTAAAATATCAGTCATTTGTTTCGTTGCTGTGAGCTTGTTTCAAAACTTCTGGCTTTTGCTATAATTGTAAAACTCTGCGCATGTCATTTTAACGTATTTATATTAATCATCAACTGTCGGCCGCTGTGGTGTAGTGGTAAGCAGTGCGCGCTTCCACTCCGCAGCACCTGGGTTCAAACCCTGGTCAAAGCAACATCGCAAAAAAATATAGAAAAAAGTTTTTTTCTTAACAGCGGTCGTCCCTCGGCAGGCAATGGCAAACCTCCGAGTGTTTTTCTGCCATGAAAAACAGCTTCTCATAAAAATACAATCGATGTTCGGAGTCGGCGTAAAACTGTAGGTCCCTCCGCTTTGTGTGACAACATCAAGGCGCACGCCACAATTCGGAGGAGAAGCTCGGCCAAACACTAACATATGTGTAAGCGCCAATCTATTATTATTATTATTATTATTAATCACCAACTATTGCTTATGCAAAACGTGCTACATTTAAAAAAAAAAATCGCATATGAAAGAGCACCAACCCAACTCGTAATAATTTAAGTATACAAATTTTAGTATTTAGTATAGAAATATTCAATTGAAATACGCCAATATTAAAATGAAGCGCTTTGCACTTAACGGATGCTTTTTCATAATTAAGTTAAAAAAAATGTATTTAAATTCC